ATATGTCAGAAGGGAATCACTACCTTCTTACATCCCTAGTATTCAGCCATTGTTTTAGGAGAGCTGTGATCTTTCTTTAATCTCACTATTTGTCATTCTATGAGGTGGTCCATGTTGAAGGTTCTGTTTATATATTCTATTTTAAACACTCTAAAGCAAACCTTCTGCACTATTTTGTTAAAAACTCAAGTAAAATTATTGCTGCTAGCCAATTTCCAATTGATTGTAGAATGCAATGTGATAGAATCTTATTCTCCAATATGCCCATGATACAGATGTAGATTATATCTTTGCATTTGTAATAATGCTCGTTTGATTGTCAAAAATGTGATTGGATTTTGTTCTTATTGGAGGTTTTAAATCTGAGAAATAATGAAAAAGGGATTATCTCCTCTTTTATTATTGCCTTATATATATGCAAATTATCTTATATTCTGCAATTAAATATTTTAAAACCAGCCTTCTGGTACTATTCACATTGTTCTGATGAAAACACTAAACAAAAGAGATGGATAATTTTGGGGGGAGGTAGTCAGGGGAGACATGGCATTTCACAAGTTTTTTCCCAGTGCAATCAGCACTCCTCAGTTCACCCTACACAAATTGCTGGGGGAAGCAAGGCTCTCTTTGCCCTAGCAGACACCTGGAGGCTGTCCCAATTTTCTAGGGACAGTCCCGGATTTACAGAAACTGTCCCAGTTTCTGATTTGATCCCCAAATGTCCTGCTTTTCCTTAGGGGGTCCCTATTTTCATTGGATAAATGTTGGAGGGTATGGAAGCTGGTATTGGTGCGGAGGGGGGTTGGCGGGGGGGGTACCCTATTGGTACAAATGGGGATGTTCCTCCTAATGCAAACAGCAAGGAGGAAAGTGCTAAATTTCCCCTCCACCTCACCCTGATCCCAGTCATAATCAGCCCCCTTTTCCTGCTGATGCTATTTGCATTTGTAAGTACCTGCATGTCCAACAGAATGGTGCATTTAACAATCTGGCCCTTTAACTCAGTGAGTCCCTCCTTGCCCAGGGCTAACGAAAGTGTGAAACAAACAGCCTTTCACTAGCACTTTCTATAACAAACTTGTTCTGAGCCTAGTCATTGACAGTTCTTGGGTCCCTCTGCTGGACCATGCCTTAAAATGGCAAGCCGATATATCACATTCCAACAGAAATTAGCAGTAGCTAAGTCTCATTCTGGTACTTTGTACTGCTTAAAGGTAAAGGTAAAGGTACCCCTGCCCGTACGGGCCAGTCGTGTCCGACTCTGGGGTTGCGCGCCCATCTCACTTAAGAGGCAGGGGGCCAGCGCTGTCCGGAGACACTTCCGGGTCACGTGGACAGCGTGACAAGCTGCATCTGGCGAGCCAGCGCAGCACAGGGAAACACCGTTTACCTTCCCACTAGTAAGCGGTCCCTATTTATCTACTTGCACCCAGGGTGCTTTCGAACTGCTAGGTTGGCAGGCGCTGGGACCGAGCAACGGGAGCGCACCCCGCCGCGGGGATTCAAACCGCCGACCATGCGATCGGCAAGCTCTAGGCGCTGAGGTTTTACCCACAGCACCACCCGCGTCCCTTTGTACTGCTTAGGCATGCCTAATGCTTGCTGAGTTGTGTCCATGATCTGTCTTGCTGCATTTTTATATACAGTAGATCAATATAATATATTTAATAGTATAGTCCATAGCATATGAGACCAAGATACAATGAGTATGATCCATCTAAAATTAACTGTTGCCAGGTCTTGGTAAGGGAAATTTAAGCAGGTGCTTAACACTCCCACTGAAATCAATGGGATTTGAAGGATGATATATATCGTTTAACTCCACAGCAGTTAGCAAATATTTATCCTAATGTAAGCAGTAGGTGTTGGAGATATGGTGGAACATAAGTAGGTTGTCAGAAGTTATTGAAAAGAAATTGTAAAAAATATAGCAAATATGGTTTGCTGCTCCATAACACCAAGCTCATTATACATAGCTTAGGGTATCTGAAAACTGAAATACAATTAGAACATTCTATTTGAATTGGCAGATTAATAATAGCAGCAAAAATACTGATCACGCTCACTGAAAATTAGTGATTTAACCAAAATGGTATGTTGCTATGAAATTACAGAATTTGTACATTTAAGAGAGTATGGCAAAGAACCATGCTGATTATATAAAGCAAATATTCAAGGCTGGGTAGGGAGCATTTGGCCTTGCCGATGCTGTTGGACTAAAACTCACATCATCTCTGACCATTAGACATGCTGGTTGGGGCTGATGGGAGTTGGAGTCCAGCAACATCTGGATGGTCAATTGTTTCCCACTCCTGATTTAGGATGATAGCCAGCTAAGTCATACTCAGAACTGAGACCCACTGAATTCAGTGCACTTTAGTCAACATTAAATTTCACTTGTCTACTCTGATTATATATTTATTTATTTACCAGTAGACCTTCACCGTGAGGTCCAAGAGGTGGTCACAACAATTTAAAATGCAATGTTAAAAACCGTTTAAAAACTAACAATGGGTCCTGAAAATATACATCTCAGGTAGCAAATGCCATGGTAAAGAGGTGTGTATAACATTGGGTATTGCCCTTAATTTAGAAGTAAGAGTTTTCTCACTGCTGAAAAATGAAGAATGGGCAAATGACAATGGTAGATATATTATATGGAGTAAATTAGAATTCGTTAAGGTAATTGTTCAACAAGCCTTTACAGATCCCAGGATGGGGAAATGTTTTTTCTTATTAAGCACTTCAGGATGTTTCATAGTAAATGATTCACAAATTATATGAATAAGAAAGTTAACTTATAAATATGAAAACCCTGTATGTGTTTGTGTATGCTTATATAAAAGAAAGTCCTTCAGACTGCAATCCTATACATGCTTACTTGGGTGTACATCTCACTTAACTCAACTCAAGTGAGCCCGGCTTCGGCTGAGGAGGGCGGGATATAAATAAAATTTATTATTATTATTGTTGTTGTTGTTGTTTACTGCACAGCAGGAGAAGCTGACCATCTCCTAATCCAGTCTAATATCTCATTATTCTAATTAAACTTGCGCCTATATCATGGCTTCATTTGTTCAGAATAACTCTGCTTTATAGGTCACCATCTTATCACTATCATTCAGCAAAAAAGGAAAGAAATTACATTTTACTGGCCACCCATACATTGTGGCCCAGCACACATCCAACAGTACATCTCCTAGAGCATTCTGCACCAGACATTTAAGCACATAATGGGCTTTCAATTTTATTTCCAGCTCACAATGTCACAGAAGCTCCTCCACTACAATATTACCATCTTGCCCAAACTGAGGCAGAACACTAGCCGTTTGGGGATCTACACTAGAGATGGGGGATCCCTGGCTCTCAACAATGTTGGACTACAACTCCCATCATCCCTGACCACTGGCCATATAGGCTGGAGCTGATGGGAGTTGGAGTGAAGCAACATCTAGAGCATGGGTTGGCAAACTAAGGCCCGTGGGCTGGATCAGGCCCAATTGCCTTCTGGATCCGAACTGTGGACAGTCCGGGAATCACCGCATGGATCGCCAGCACGCGCCTTCTTACCCTCTCTCTCACATGGCGGCGGCACCTCCTCCCTCCCGGCTTCTCCCCACCCTGCCTAGAGGAGGAAGGGGGCTGGGCTTTGTTGGTGCCCGCAGCATCAGAGCTCGAGCGGCCACCATTTTAAGCAGCCCCTCTCCACAGCCCTTTTGTGCGCCACTCATTGCCCCTCTACCGCCCCCCCCCCAGCCCCTGCCGCTCGCAAGACACAGGTAAGCAGCCACCGGGGCTCATGGTGCTCTTGCTTCATTCCCCCCCCCAAAAAATATAGTCTGGCCCCCCACAAGGTCTGAGGGACAGTGGACCGGCCCCCTGCTGAAAAAGTTTGCTGACCCCTGATCTAATTTTATTTATTTATTTATTTATTTATTTATACATACATACATACCCCGCCCATCTGGCTGGGTTTCTCCAGCCACTCTGGGCGGCTTCCAACAAAATATTAAAATACAATAGTCTATTAAACATTAAAAGCTTCCCTAAACAGGACTGCCTTCAGATGTCTTCTAAAAGTCTGGGAGTTGTTCTTCTCTTTGACATCTGATGGGAGGGCGTTCCACAGGACGGGCACCACTACCCAGAAGGCCCTCTGCCTGCTTCCCTGTAACTTGGCTTCTCACAGTGAAGAAGGCCCTCTGCACTGGACCTCAGTGTCCGGGCAAAACGATGTGGGCGGAGACGCTCCTTCAGGTATACTGGACCGAGGCTGTTTAGGGCTTTCAAGGTCAGCACCAACACTTTGAATTGTGCTTGGAAACATACTGGAAGCCAGTGTAGGTCTTTTAAGACCGGTGTTATGTGGTCTCGGCAGCTGCTCCCAGTCACCAGTCTAGCTGCCGCATTCTGGATTAGTTGTAGTTTCCGGGTCACCTTCAAAGGTAGCCCCACATAGAGCGCATTGCAGTAGTCCAAGCGAGAGATACCTAGAGCATGCACCACTCTGGCAAGACAGTCTGCGGGCAGGAAGGGTCTCAGCCTATGGACCAGATGGAGCTGGTAGACAGCTGCTCTGGACACAGAATTGACCTGTGCCTCCATGAACAGCTGTGAGTCCAAAATGACTCCCAGGCTGCGCACCTGGTCCTTCAGGGGCACAGTTACCCCATTCAGGTCTTCCACACCTGCCTGCCTCCTGTCCCCCCAAAACAGTACTTCTGTCTTTTTGGGATTCAACCTCAATCTGTTAGCAGCCATCCATCCTCCAACCACCTCCAGACACTCCAGACTCCAGAGAGTGTCACAGGTTCTCCAAACTGGATCCATACCTGCCACCATCTCAATGTGCACCAGCCCTTGTCTCAAAGGCTGCACCCCCTGGGAGACCAGGCAACCCTGCCCTCCTTTCTCAACAGACCCTTACTCACTTTGGGTGAAGGTAGACACATAGGAAAGTCTCCCCAACATTCATAACTCAATGAAGATTTGTCACCTACCCGTAGCTGCTTCCTCCTCAGGTGTCGCCACTACTTATGTCTACACTTGGATGATGAGGCATGTCCTTGTGGCAAGTGTCCTTGAGCAACTTTTTTTACTCCAAACGTCAAAGGCATAAGTCCTTCCTCGGCACACCAACTTAGCTGAATTACTCCAGTCCACAGGTGAAAGAATTCTGGAAAAGGGTGGGAAAGTGCTCTCCACTAACAGCCGGTCCCAATTTCAGACATGGGTTCTACCTTGATCATTCAACATATTTTCTTGTCCTGAGATGAGGAAAAGGGACAGAACAGCCCTGAAAAGAAGAAAACAAAAGCAAAATATTTTTAGCGATCACAATGTTCCTGTTAATGATATTTATTTCAAAGCATTTCTACAATGATTTACAATGTCGTATTTTAAAAATCTCCAAGTGGCATACAGCATAAAACAGTAAAGAATATAATTAACACAAAAATATAACATTAAACCAGTAAATAGCAGTATGAAGCATATAAAAACAAATTAATATTATAGGTCAAGGAAAGCCTGGGCAAAAAGGCATGTTTTTATGAAACATCTGGGGAAACTGATGGCTGCTGTTTCCCACAGGGCAGGAGAAAGGAATTCCATTGTAAAGGGGCATTAGTGGAAAATTAATTTTCTCATATATTTTAGTGGATTGTGCTCTAGAACTGTAGAAGTTGGAAATTTGAAATTTTAGGAGTTGAACGAAAATTTTCGGCCTAGCTTCATTACATTATTTTTTTAAAAAAGTGGACTTCTTAGGTTTCCTTTGATAAACTGCTGCTGTTTCAGCTGTCTAAGTGCTTTTGAAAAGACACCAACTTCCATTGTATATACAAGTTACTAATAAAGGCCTACCCTTCTATAGACCTACATGAGCACTTAAATTATGTGTAGTGGGAAAGTCTATTCAGCGTACCCTATGGAATATTAAAGAGCGGTGACCCAAAAATGGGAATTTTCTCTTTCGCAGTCACTACCTAAATGAATGCGAGCTGCACAACGACACAATAATAATTAAGACTTTTCCATCAAAGGGGCATTGTCTTCCATTCCAGAGATTCTGTGGGGCTGCGTTCTCTGATTTCCTCCATTTTCTACCCTTTACAATGTATTCATTATGTATTTACTTCACAGAGTTTACATGCACCAGATTGTAAGGAAACAGCAACCACCAAAGTAGTTTACAATAAATGAATAAAGCAATTAAATTATCGGTGGAAACAGTTAAACAACACAATGTCGCCACCGTTTTGCAAGAGACCGTACGTATCGTGCTTTTCCGTGTATAAGACTGTTTTTTTATTTTAAAAATTATATTCAGCATTGTGGGTCGTCTTATAGATGGATACAGTCTCCCCCCATTTTCTCAATTTGGAGTTCCCCAAAACAAGGGGCGTCTTATACATGGGGGCGTGTGATACACGGAAAAATACGGTATATTTTGTCAGGTGGGCCCAATGGCCCTAAGTGGTGCCTATGCCTTCCTCTTTCGTCCTGACATGTCCCATGCTACTCCCAGGGTGCTTGTGAGGAGGCGACCATCACCCTAGGCAGGCAGGCAGGCTGGGGGCGAAATCCGGGACGTGCCGCCCCATGGCCCCCCTCCAAGGAGCATTTCCTCGCGAGGGAAAAGGCCCTCTGCACATGGCAGGTGGCGCTTTGCCCGGCGTGCCTTTCCAGAGCAAGAGAAGCATGCACGCCGCCCCGCCTTCCTCGGAAGGGCAGGAACTCTGCACATGCGCAGAGGTGCCCGGCCTGTGAGGTCGGAAGCGCCCTTTTTCAACAAAAGGCCCATTTCCGATGCAGATCCTCAAGCTGCTTGAGGGCAAGGGGGCAGTATTGCAGGGGAGAGCTGCTCTGCCCCCCCCTCGAGAAGGGCAGCCGTGAGGGGGGGGGGTCCAAGCCACAGGCGCGCATGAAGGGCGGAAACCCCTCAGGAAAACCAACCGCAAGGGTCTTTTCCTGGCTTGTTTTCTCTCTTTTTGTTTTGCTGAACAAATCCTGGCTCGGAGGGGGAAGAGGAAGGGGAGCAAGTGGGGCGGGAAAGGGCCTTGCCAGCCCCCCTGCTTCAGGCTGCGGCCTGGTGCGCTGCCTCGCCTCCCTCGGCTGCGGCCCGGTTGCCGCGGGCGACGGCCATGTCAGCAAGAGGAAGGCCAGGCCATTGTTGCCTTGTGGGAGGGGCCAGATGTGGGAAAGGGGCGGAGCCTCAGAGCCTGGGCCGGAGAAGGCCACACTGGGCCAGTGTGTGTGTGTGTTTATTCATTCAGTGTCGGTTTATTCATCGTTATATTTGCAATGTGTTCTTTATTTTCCAAAATAAATTCTATTAATAACTCCATTGTCTTGCGAGACAGACGGATGCCAACTTTTATTTTTATTTATTGAATTTTATTTTTATTATATTTTTAAAAAGATATTTATTCAAATTTTGCAAAATAGAAAACATAAGTTTACAAAATAGAGAAAATTATAACAGCAATTAACAAACTAAAATTATAACAACAATTAACAAACCAAAAACAACACACATAGAAAAAGAATAAAAAGGGTACAAAATACAAAAAAAAACAAACAGGCAGTTGAAAAAGAAATTTAAAAAGAAAAAAATATCCATTTTTCAATATCTTTGGACTCATTTACTTGTTTCCTTGACCTCCTCTCACCTCCCCTTTTTGTATTCCCATTCACAAAGACATTTCAGCAAATCCTTACCCTCTTTCTATTTATTGAATTTTAATGACGCCCTTCGTCCGAGGATGACATGTGATGCCCTCCTTCTTTGCATGATTGTTTCCCCAGTAATAATAATAATAATAATAATAATAAATAAATAATTTTATTTATACCCCGCCCTCCCCGGCCAGAGCCAAGCTCAGGGCAGCTAACACCAGCAAAATTACAGTAAAAACATAATAGGAAAAGGGAAAAAACCAATTTAAAATACAGGTTAAAATGCAATTTAAAATGCAGCCTCATTTTAAAAGTAGCTCATTGACAAAGAAAAATACAAAGCGTTAATATCTCTCCCCCCCCCCTTTTTGAACCAAATCAAGACTTTGCTATAGATACAATATAAACACAAGAAAGGGAGGGGGAAATAGAGAAGGGGAAAGAAAGAAAGATGATGTTGCTGTTGTTGATGATGATGATGAAAGAATAGAAAAGAGGTTAAAGGCGAAAGATAGAAAAATAAGATTCAGAGAATAAAGAACAGGCAGTGGGGCTTGGGAAGTAGCTGAGGCCATAAAAGAGAGAGAAAATCACCACATAAAAAAGAGAGAGAGAAATAAAAAACAGCTATGAAACAAGGAAAGCGGGTAGCGGCACGATATACGCAGGCTGCCTCTGTTGGCTGTATAGCTCTGCGGGCCTGAAAATGAATCAAAACATCTCTGCAAACATATGCAAACAGCAGGCGGGTTCAGTACACAGTAGCAGCACTATGGAGAAATGGGGGAAAGTGTGATAAAGCCAGAATGGCAGTTCCAGCTGAGGGCCAAACGTATTTAACATGCATCTCTGAGTTATTTGTGGGGCATAGGAATTCGTTCATCCCCCCCCCAAAAAAAATATAGTCTGGCACCACACAAGCTCTGAGGGACAGTGGACTGGCCCCCTGCTGAAAAAGTTTCCTGACCCCTGTTTTAGATCCTGCCATCACTATTCCAGTTGTGTTTGCATGAGTAACATTTCTCTGCCAGCATGAAAATGCAATTACTGTAAGATACAACATATTGGTAGAAGTTGACAGCATCTGCCATAATTCCTTAGCATCTATAAGTTCTTCATGCACCTTATCTTCTTCTTCTTCTTCTTCTTCTTCTTCTTCTTCTTCTTCTTCTTCTTCTTCTTGTTTTTAAATAATGTTTTTTAATTTATTTTTCATGGTCCAGAATATATATTTTGAGAAACATTATTGTATTCCTGTATCTTTCACACACACATATTCCTGGAAGGGTAGGTCTGTATTATAATGTCCATATGGCAGACTGGATGATTTGGGTAGGCAGGAGGTTCACAGTTCTGGGTGAATGGATCATTATCTAGGGCAGTGTTTCCCAACCTTTTTTGGGCAAAGGCACACTTGTTTGATGAAAAAAATATTGAGGCACACCACCATTACAGCCCCGTGACGTCAGCGTGCAGCGTCACGCCGGGAGGGACGCACGAAAGTGTAACTTTCAATTTTTTCCCCTCCCCCTTGCCGGGGAACCTCCAAGCTTTGGGGGTGGGGGAGGGAGGAGGCAGCAAAGCGAGGGACTGAGGGACCCTAACCCTAACCCTAACCCTCACCGATCACCCGGGAAAGCATGCGAACGAGGAGCCCCCGTGTCCTGCTCCCGGCAGCGGACGGCACAAAGCGAGGAGGCCTGGACAAGGCAGCACGCTCCCCGCTCTCGCTGCATCGGGGCTTTTCTCCTCCAGGCCGCTTTCGAAGTCCCCTTCTCCGCTCCCAAGAGCCGGAGCCGCTGCTTCCAGGCCCTGTCCGAGCCCCGACTTGTGGCCTCACTTCGAGGAGCGCCTGTTGCTGGGGACAGGGCTGCATCCCCCTCAGCCGCCGCCTCGCTTCCTTCCAGGAGACCTGACGGCTCCCCCTCTCCCGCTCGCCCTCCTGCGCCCGCAGCAGACCGAGACCTCCCCGCCCCCGCCCGGCTCGGCCCTACCTGGGCGCCTCCAAGCCCGGCCGGCTCCGCGTCGCGCTCCACGCCGGGCAGCTGCAGCAGGGGCTGCGCAGGGGCGCGCGGCGGCCCGGCTGAGCGCGCCCCGGAGCCGCCGCGCCGTCGCTCGCGAGTCCCTCCAAGAGCCCGCGGGACTGACTCTGGAGTCGTGAGGCGGCGCGTCGCCCAGGGAAGGGGCGGCTTCCCACAAGCACGACGACCGAAAAGAGCCCAGCAGAGCGCGCGCCCCGGAGGACTTGGGGGGGGGGTCTGTAGGGCATCAGTGGCCCCCAGAATTCTGCCCGCCCCTCGCCCCATTTGATCCAGATTTACCCTCTGGGGAGAGCGAGCCCCGGCCCAGCAGGGGGCGCCCTCGCTCCGTCCTCCGGGAAGCAAACGCCCTCGCCCGCCTCCCTCCAGGCAACATCTCGCGGCACACCAGGCAACATCTTGCGGCACACTCGTGTGCCGCGGAACACCGGTTGGGAAACACTGATCTAGGGATGGGTTTGTGATGGACGCTAGGACTGAATACTGACTTGTCTCCCCTAGTTACAAAGGTTGAGACTCTAGACTAGAGGAACTGGCTGATGCTGAGAAGAAGTCATCCATTGTGTTGAACATTAACCACAATGATGTGGGGAAATCTGAGTTGTGAGGCCCTAGAACCAACCAGGGGGAGGTGACCCAGGACTTAACACTAAGTGGCGCTAAGGACCTGGTGTGAGATGCAAGTGGGGTTGCGGCTCTCATCTCGCTTCAGAGGCCGAGGGAGCCGGCGCTTGTCTGCTTCCGCAGACAGTTTTTTTGGATCATGTGGCCAGCATGACTAAGCTGCTTCTGGCGAGACCAGAGCAGCGCACGGAAACGCGGTTTACCTTCCCACTGGAGCGGTACCTATTTATCTACTTGCACTGTGTGCTTTTGAACTGCTAGGTTGGCAGGAGCAGGAACTGAGCAATGGGAGCTCACTCTGTCGCACGGATTCGAACCGCCGACCTTCCGATCAGCAAGTCCTAGGCTCAGTGGTTTAACCCACAGCGCCACCCATGTCCCTTTTTACTTGTCCCCCTTTTGTTGTTGTTGTTTAGTCATTTAGTCGTGTCTGACTCTTCGTTACCGCATGGACCAGAGCACACCAGGCACTCCTGTCTTCCACTGCCTCCCGCAGTTTGTTCAAACTCATGCAGGTAGCTTCAAGAACACTGTCCACCCATCTCGTCCTCTGTCATCCCCCTTCTCCTTGTGCCCTCCATTTTTTCCAACATCAGGGTCTTTTCCAGGGAGTCTTCTCTTCTCATGAGGTGGCCAAAGTATTGGAGCCTCAGCTTCAGGATGTGTCCTTCCAGTGAGCACTCAGGGCTGATTTCCTTCAGAATGGATAGGTTTGATCTTCTTGCAGTCCATGGGACTCTCAAGAGTCTCCTCCAGCACCAGAATTCAAAAGCATCAATTCTTCGGTGATCAGTTTTCTTTATGGTCCAACTCTTACTTCCATACACCACTACTGGGAAAACAATAGTTTTAACTATACGGATCTTTGCCCCCCTTTTACTTCTTTCCATTTCCTACACTCCCATAATTATCTCTGTCATGCGCCTCAACTCCAGAGAAGGACGCAGTAAGGCTTTTTCAGCCTGCTCCTCCCACCTGATTATGGTTAGTATTTACTACGCCTCCATTGCCATGGCGTACCTCTCCTACAAAGCCAATATGCCCTTTGATGTCCATGTCACGAGCAATGCGGTTTTTGCTATTTCAACAACCCCTTTGGTCAGTCCTCTCATTCATACCCTCAGGAATAAGGAAGTGAAAAGCGCTGTGAAGCAGTTTCTTATCGTTGGATTTTTTTCCCTTCATGGGCTGAAGATGGAATCTGTTCAGGCACTGCAGGCAGCGCTTGGGAATGACGCATAAATGCCCCAGACATAAGTTATCGGTGACTAACTGATCCTGTTACTCTCAATGACAATTCAGATTGGGAACACTGGCTATAAAGTTGTCTGTGAGGAATTAAACAGCAGGCTGCTATAACAGTGTTTGGAACTTATCTACCATCTGATTTGTTTGTCCTGATAAACAAATCTGTTTTCCTTGCAGTTTTGCTTTTAATGTACACTGTGTATTTTCTACTTTTAAAAAACTTTTAATTATTTAAGAAAGGACATGCATTTCAATAGCATAGAAGCAAGAGAGAAAGAAAGAAAGAAGAAGGGAGGGAGGGAGGAAGCAAAAACAATGCAACAGGGTTAAAATTAAAATTCAACATAACCACAAAATGCAAATTTGAGTCATTTCAGTCACAATCCCTGAAAAGAATTATTATTATTAGTGGGAATAGTAATTTTATTTTTTTCCTCAATAAGCAATAGCTTGCCTGTTTAACATCATATGGTCCATACCTTTCAAAAGAAAATGATGCAGAGTTGGTTATTGCAGCAAGATATAAATAATGCTATGAATAATAAGATCATAATTGCATGGAAGCTCAGCGGAAGCAAATCAC